GCAATTGTTTGACAGTCATCCCACAATTCATGTAGGGCCTTAATAATTGCCCATTTTGGGGTTTCTTGTGCCTTCCTCTGAAGCATGAAGTACTGGCTTTGGCCACAAGATGGGGTGGGGTGGAGGCCTGGATATTGATAGACCCCTGCTCTGAGCTAGTATGGTAATACCTGTGTTCCTATCATTCTAGTTAAGGGTTTTGGCCAATTCTCTGTCCAACTCCCTTTCTTTTCCTTGTTCTTTGAAGCAGGTATATTCAGTACAGATAAGATAAATATTAGAAATGAAATTTCAAAGTGAATTTTATCCTTTAAAAATTCTGAAATTCAAGAAAGTCTGTTACTATTTTAACATACATGTTTGTCTGTTTATTATATCTGGCAAACTTGTTTGGTTGGGGGAACATACCATGCTACAGGAGAGTGGATCTCAAACTTTTTTACTGGTGACCCCTTTCACACAGCAAGCCTCTGAGTGCGACCCTCCCCCAATAAATTAAACACACTTTTTAATATATTTAACACCAGTATAAACGCTGGAGGCAAGCGGGGTTTGGGGTGGAGGTTGACAGCTCGTGACCCCCCCCCATGTAATAACCTTGCAACCCCCTGCGGGGTCCTGACCCCCAGTTTGAGAACCCCTGCTATAGGACCTGGTGAAACTTGTTCCTCCAAGATAGTTTAATAGAGTCCATGTGAAGGAGTGTGGTTGGGGACTGTTAGCAGAATGTTTCAGATCAAGAGCTGTGGGATTTTAGGGCTCAAGATTGTGCTGAGTTCTCAGTAACTGTGGGAGTCGGTGATCATGGAAAAAACAGAGAGAAGGAGGAAAACATCAGAGACCAATAGATGAGACTCAGGCCATCTGTTTAGAGGTTCCCTGTTTCACTGATATAATCTTCCTTTTGATTTTCTAGAAAGAAAGGAAGAATTGGCCAAGGAGCGGATATGGTTATATCTGTATCCATAGAATGTAAGAGTTAGTATAAGAAAAAAGCTGTTTAGGGAAAACCAAGAGGATCTGTAACTAGAGATAAAGGGGTGAAAAAGAGCAAAGGGTGAGCATTTCCAGTGGGATATCAGAAAATATTTCCCTAACAGTAAGAACTATCAGCCTGTGGTATAATCTCCTTAGGGAAAGTGGTAAAAGCCCCCTGCTCTAGTGATGCCAGAAAAGACCTGTCAGGTCAGGTCCTGCCTGTTACCCACACTCCAGATGATCCAGCATGAGGTTAGGTTCTCTGTGCTATTTTGCTGAGTCTACTTCTAAATGTCCTGAGCAGGCACTCCTGCCATGTTTGCTTTTTGATAGCTGAATACTAGAGTTAAACACAACTAAGTGGTGCCCCAATGTGGCAGCTGGATTCTCTGTTTGTATGTCCTGCATCTTGCCACAGCTTATGCTCAAGCTAGGGATCGCACATGGGGATCAGTAGGCAGCAGCTGGATTGTAGAGGTGGGAAAGATGTGATCTAGTGGTGAGAGAATGGGGCTGGAAATCAGAAAATCTGGGTTCCATTCTTGTCTCTGCCACTGACGTGCTGTGTGACTTCAGGTCAGCGGTTCTCAGCCCATGGGCCGCATGCAGTCCACTTAGCACACAGCTGCAGCCCAGCTCAGCTGTGTTCTAAAGATACTGCCAGGTTCCTGGCTGCTCAGAGCAGAGGGGTCCAGGCTGCAAGTTCTGAGGGCTGGGGCAGCTGTCCGCCCCCGGTCCGGGGCAGTCGCGTTGTGGGGGTCCCGGGTCGGGCTCCGGGCTGTCGCTGCCCTGCCACCTGCGGGCTGTTGCTGCCTTGCAGTCCAGGTAACACATTGTGGACCACTGCTTTAGGTAAATTACTTACCCTCAGTCTCCATTCCACATCTGTGAAATGGGACTACTCATTTGTCTCCAACTGGGTAAAATAAACTGATAAAACTAAAAAAGTGCTATGTAAGTGTAAAGTATTATAAGGGAGACTTTCTTTGACTATAATAGGGCTGCGCTATGCATTGGCCTGTCCTAAATAACTCCGTATAGCATTTGCAGGTGTAAAGGAAGGGGAACACACATCTGTTGCGTTTGATGCAGGAAGCTACTAGATGTGTGTTACTAGAGGGTGACTGATATTAATTTACTTTAATTTTCAGCCACTAAAGTTCTTGGCACTGTCAAGTGGTTCAACGTCAGAAACGGATATGGCTTTATCAACAGGTATGTTTGTTGTTATTGATAAATTTGTGCAACACTGCAGTTCACATGCTTAATGGATCTATTAACTCTTGAGTCTTCAAAATCAGGCTAGAAATCTCACAGGAAGAGGGGTTTTCTGAGATTTCTGGTATTTCCTGTTTCTGGTTGGGTTCAGAATACCACAAGGTTGGCCTGTGATGCCGCATTTTAGCTCTGACTGCCTGATAACCATTAAGGTTCTGAGTTAAAATCAGATGATAGGTGGATGTGGGAGGAAGTTATTGAGCCTTTCCAAACGTGTGTGTTGTGGTAGGGAGGGGAACAGACTTGAGCTTTGGAGAAAGTTTTGGTAAGGGTGTTCTTATTTTCTGTCCAAACACGTTCACTCATCCCAATTCCAATCTCCCCTAACATTCCACAGTTCTGTGTTTTATAGTTATAGCTGGTCACAGATTTGAACGTGCAGAAGTTATGGGGTATTCCAAAGCTCAAGTCCAGATCCACGTCTGAATTTTGGAAGTGGTCCCTCTCTCTCTCTCCCTCTCTCTCTCTAATAGGTCAAACCAGAATTCTAGCTCGACTCTCCCACATTGAATTCTAAGAAACTGCATCTTGTACTCTCAGTCCACCCTCAAAGGCATCTTATCACCCGCTCATGTGGGTTTCTAAACTGTTTCTAAGTGACTTCAAGCAAAAAATGGGAGAGCTAAAAGCTAGTGGTACATGTCTTGCTCATGAAAACACTGTGATAAACTTAGTTGACAAGCTACAGAAACTTGCTTATTAATATTATTTATTATTTAAAATAGTTTTCAAACTTTTTTTTTAAAATCCTCTGTCAGAAAATGGATATAGCAAAAGAATCCACACAAGCTTCAGTTCAGGGAGTTTGATAACTCAAGGAAATCAGAGAAGGGAGACACACAGTCTTTCACATCATAGAAACCATTTCCAATACAACACTGTATTGTGGCGGACTCGATGTCTGTGATGAATTAGAGAATGGGGATACCGAACCTTTCAGTGCAACCACAGCTCATTGAGGCTGGCTGCTCCTCGAAAAGGGCACTGATATTGGGGAGGTGGAGAGGGGATCTGATTCATGTTGAGGGAGCTCTATATCCCCTTCTAAAGCACATTTTCCAAGGTCGTGCAAGATCAGGAGGTTAATGAATGGCTTGGAGTTAAGGAAAATAATATCAAGCCTTCCATCTCTAGGTCGTTGGTTTTACTTCAGCCCCTCAGAGGTAGTGATTGTTTCCAATTATGTTCTCTCAGTGAAGTGAATTTTCTGGGTCTCAGTCCAGTGGGAGAAGTCTCCACACAAAAAAAACATTATCAAAATTTGCACACTTAGCTCTGGTCTACACTGGGGGGGGCAGGTGTCAACCTAAGATATGCCATTCGCATATCTTAGGTCGACTTACCTGGCCATGAGGACAGCGGTGAGTCGACCGCTGCTGTTCCCCTGTCGACTCCGCTTCCACCTCTTGCGAGCTGGAGTTCCGGAGTCTTCGGGGAGCATGTTCGGGGATTGATTTATCGCATCTAGACGAGACACAATAAATCGATCCCCAATAGATCGATCACAACCCACCGTTCCGGCAGGTAGTGAAGACCTGCCCTTATTCTGTTCCCCTACTTTCCCTGATCCACCCATTATCAGTCCCAGTAGGGAAGCCAAACTGTTGAATCGGCCATGGAGACTTCCCTTCCTTCCTGGGAACATAGATAATATACCCAATAGTGCTTCTAATTCAGTATCCTGACTCTGACAGTAGCCAATGCCACATGCTTCAGAGGAGGGTGCAAGAAACCATGTAATAGCCAATTTTGGAACAACCAGCTTACAGAGGAAGTTTTTAACCCCTGTTAGTGCTTGACTTTTATGCCTTGAAATAAAAAGGTTTATATTCTTATACAATTCTACCTTCCTAAGTCAGGAGGAGCATATTTGGGAGAAGGGCATGGGGGAGTCCCTCAGATTTCTTTACTGAAAACCTAGCACCTTTTCATAAGCCACAGAATTAACTTCAAGTACCTGTTGTAAATAGTAGAGTGGAACTGAAATTGTTTTGGAGTATTTAAGAGTTCCTAGCTTCTGCATCTGTGTGTGCGCACTGGATGTGAGTTTCTCAGATATGTCAGCCTGTATCACATGTAGAATCCTGTACTGGCTGGAGGATTGTCTAGACAACCTAGAAAGTGGGGTTTTTTTGTTTTTGGTTTCTTTATTTCATATGTAGCTCTCCCCCTCCCAATGAGTATTCCTAGTCCCTCCTCTCCTGGGCTGTGTTGGGTTTCAGTGTAAGGGGAGCTATGTTAACAGCTGTGCCCAGTCCTGTTGACAGTCTCACTTGACCTGTGGGATAATGTGCTGGGAGCTTGAGTTGCAGGTCCTGTGGTCATGGAGAGGAGAGGGAGAGAATATAATAGTCTTGCTGCCTATGTCAGACTACACCTTGGATGTCTGCCCACAGATTACAGGGTGGTCCCTGGGGAAGGTGGACAATCCCCTCCTGTTGGGGAAATGATACAGAGCGAATTCACAGCCAGGTCTGGATGGAGAGGCAGAGTAGGTTTGTACTGCACATGGACTCCCAGGGGGTGTGTGCCCTATGGAGGCTTCAGGAGATGTATTTCCAGGTTCTGCTCCTCCTCAGAAGAGGTGCATGGACTGGTGAGCTGAACCCCAAGAACTATCTCCCGTAAAGCCGCAGGTCTAAATAATCAGATGTCCCATGATTACATCTCTCTCTTCACACTTTTTCCACAGAAATGACACAAAAGAAGATGTGTTTGTTCATCAGGTGAGTGAGAGGCAATGGACTGTCTTTTTGTACATTCTATGCATGGTAAAACTTGTTGCTATGTACTGTTCATATTCATCTCTCAGCCCTAGTTTCTCCTTACGAGTGCTAAAGGGGTCATTCTGAACTGATTCAGCCCCACATGTATCACTGACAAATTTCCTTCTCTTAGCCACTCTCATTATATGGAGTTAAAGGGGTTGTCCTACTCGGAACTCTCCCAGCTTCCTCTGTATGTAACCGTGACAGATTCCCCTCTGTCTTTCAGCTCCTTCTGTCTTCTCTTGCCCACTGTGGTTTAGGCAGGGGGCTTTTTTCTTTCCAGCAGGGTAACTGCTCAGTTGGTGTTGGGGAGGGAGTATCTGGCTCAAATGAAGTTAAATGAACCTTTTTTGCTGTTTTCTACCTCATCCTCCCACCCTCCTTTTCTGCACTAGACTCTCTCCTGTTCATACTCCAGGCTTCTTTTCCAGTCCTCTCAATCTTCTTTTCTCCTTTTCATTCTCAGCCCTATTCCTCCTCTTGCTCTACTATCAATCTCTCTTTCTGTCCCCTTTCTTGCCATTTTCTTGAAGGAAAAGGATCCAGTCTGGTCCTTAACCAGCCTGGACATTATCAGCTGTCACAATGTGAGATAGCTGCAACCAAGAATGACAGGCAAGAGGGAATGCACCAGTTGTGACTGGGCAGGGAGTGGTCAACAAGAAGCCTGCTAGTGCACATGGGGTTCCCTGAACCATCAGCAGGTCATGCTTTTAAAGTGTTTCCACATAACCTGGAACTTCTGTTCTGAGAATTGAGGATGGCTGCCATATCCTGAGGGTTAAATGCTCAGGAGCTATCTGTATTTACATCACACTCCTTACTGTAATATCTGAGAGATGCACATTTGACCAAGAGGTTGTTACCCACACAAAATTCTGTTACACACTTTAGGGGAACCCACCTTTACTCGGTTCCTAGGGCTCAAGCATAACCCTCATAATTCAGACACCCCTACCCTTTCCCTGTTCCTAGGGCTCAGGTATAACCTTACGCTCTAGGGCACCCACCCTTCCACCATTCCTAGGTCTCAGGAATGATCCTGTTAATTTAGGCACCCACCCGTACCCTTCCGTGGGCTCAGGGCATAACCTTACACTCTGCAAGTTTGCAGGGTCTTTTACCAGTGAAAGAGCCTTACTCAGTAATAGCCTACTTAACCTCTATTTATTAACAGTTCCCTCCAAAAAAGAATGCATACGCTAAGCATACAGTGCTCACTGCTTCCAGTCCCGATAAGGCAGATGAACTTTTCTTGATGGCCAGTCAGGATCAGGTCATCTGGGAGACTCCAGCTTCCTCACGGAGTGGTTGGCAAGGTGTTGAGGTCTGGCAGCTCTGATCTTGGGGTTGTGTCCTGGAGTTGGCTCCCAAGAACTTCCTTTTGGACCCCAGTTTATATAGTGAAACTTGAGTCCTGCTTAACCAATACCATAACCAGTCATTTTACTAAAATATTACAAAACAATTTTCTAACCAATCCTAGCATATTGTAAAACAATTCTTTAACCAAACATACCCCACCACCTTAATTAATTTACACCTGGCAAAATTAATTATGTAACAGACAGAAACAATCAACAGACAGAGACCCTGCAGATAAACAATAGAGAAATGGGGGACCATAAAGACAAAACAATAAAGTAGGGATTTCACAACCACAACTTGTCGATAAATGATTTCTTGCCAGACAGAATGTCATCAAGCAAAGTTTTCTTCAACCATCTTAAGATCGGTTTCTTTGTCTGGTGATGGTGGTTGCTATTAGGACAGGATCGCCTTCTTAACAGCCCGATATTACATTGTTTTAATGTAATTTAGATGGAATGTAAGGATGTGACTTTCTGCTTCTTGGCTAATGGCTGCTGCTCTTCTAATGTGGCTGCAGAGAAAGGCCTTAGGCCTTACAGGGTTACATGCATTCCCTGTTGGGAAGCTTGTCCTAAACGCCTAAAAACAACAAAATTTCAAATTCTCCCTGATGAGCTAGCATCTTGTATAGCGCCTGGAACTTTAAGCACCAAAAACACAGGCTTCTACCACTTAAAACTAAAGGAGTAACTCCATCAGCTGTAAGAGGTTATATCCTCTATGTGACCCAGCCACTAGAAGCAGATGAGACACACACACAGCGTGCATGTTAAACAATGGTTAGTGTGTATTGTATATAACATTACTGGTGCTAAGGATGCTCTGCTTAGTGGTGTGACTGTTCCTCAGGGTGATAGGAGTCAGAGTTCACCTCACAGTTTTAAGAGTTTGTGAACGTGTTAATGAGAGATGAGACACCAGGGGTGCTTGTGTGTAATTCATTACAATTTATATTGCATTAGGGTTTATAGCCTCATGTGCTAGTCATTGTACAATATCTCCCTGTCCCAAAGAGCTGACCGTCGTAAGTGCCAGGCAAAAGGCAGCAGGTGGATACAGCTAAAAGATGGGGGTCAGCACAAGGGAACAGTGAGATGATATTGGTCATGGTGAAAAAGGTGATAGCAGCAAGTGAGCTGCCTAATCATTGTCAAGTTTTAATAGGCATCATGGCAGTGAAGTATTTTTAAGGGGAAATTTAAAGAAGGACAATGAGGTGGCTCTACAGCTATTTACAATGGTGTGGGAGTAGGCACAGAGGTGCTTGTTGAAAAGTTTTTAAAATGGGCAATCAAGAATGGCATTGGTAGCATTCTTGCATAAAAGATGATGGTAGATGAGGGTTCTTAAATGTGAAGAATAATAGTTTGTTTTGATGTAGCAGAGTTTCTACCCACTCTCTTTGTCACCTCTTTGTTCCTGTTCTCAGAGAAGGGGAGATATTTGATTCCCATATGTAGATTAAAGAGCTATAGTGGGAAGATGGGGGAGAATTTTTGTCCTTCCACAGGTCAATATATGGTAAAGTGGATGGTTAAAATCCTCTAGGAGTGTGCCCTTTGAGCAAAAGTCAGGCCTGATGTAAGTGAGTGAAACTCCATTTATTTCAGATGTCTGTTTACTCTAGGATTAAATATGTCCCATTGTTTCAACGTCCATAACTAGACCATTCTGGCTGGTCTGAGACTTGGTCCAGGATTTGATGTTCCCAAATTCATGCTTCCTTCCCTTTCTTCTGTTGTCCCACTACCCTGTCAGGAGCCCTAACCAAATGGCATTTGAAACTCTGAAGGACTGACCACCTTCAGGCAATACTAGGCAATTGGAGTTGGTATTGATTCAGTGGGAAGCGATATCCCCACTGCAGTAGTCTAGGTTTTCCTGGTAGGATTCCCAACCAAATACAAACTAAACCAATCCCTGCTGAATTTATGAGAGATGGGAGGGATCTTAGCATCCCCTTGGGATGGTACAGTGATTCAGTCAAGCAGATTGGGGCCTGCCTGAGTGAGAAGGAAAGGGAACAGTCAGGCAGGGAGTGGCAGTTACAAAGTCCTATCAATCACGTACACAAACATCCTGCTCTGAACTGCCTCTTTCCTCTGTGGGTAGTGACTGTTCCCTGCCACTGTGGACTCCTCCCCCAGCATTTGGGGAATATGGAGGAGGGGCTGGATTACACATGTAATCTCTTTAGAATAAGGCTGACCTAGTTGAAGGGACACACCCACCCTCCACACGCACACAGTGGGAGGGGAGCAGGCAGATCTCATGATCAGGGTGAGGGTTAACACTCTTTATTTGCTGCTATTGGATGCTATTTATATATACACAGAGCATACAGATTAAAATGCTTCTCTCCTTAGAGCATATGTGGCTGCTTTGTATTAACAGTTTCTCTCTTGCCATGGCTCCAAATCATGTAGAATCTGGAGCTAGAAAGACCTATTTGACCTCATCTTGCTTATCTTTCCCTGCTTTCTTGGACACAGCCTGATCATTCTTTGCTGTGTTATCTAGGTCTCTTGTCTATTACCAGTTATAAATGACCCAAGTGATGTGCCTCTACCATTCTCATTGGGAGGCTATGGCTATTCCAAAATGAAATAAACGATGAAATATTTCTTGGAACTTTCCTCCTGAAATTTCAACTAATTTCTTCTAGTTGCAGCCCCTTTAGCACCCTTAAAGGTCTCTATCCCTCTTTGGCTGTACTGGGTCAGACCATTCTTATGTTCTTAAACACCAATCATACATCTAGCCCAGTATCCTGTCTTCAGACAGGCCAATGCCAGGTGCTTCTGAAGGAATGAACAGAATAGCAATCATTGAGTGATCCATCCCCTGTCATCCACTCCCAGTTCTGGCAATCAGAGTCTAGGGATACCCAGGGCATGAGGTTGCATCCCTGGCCATCTTGGTGAATAGCCATTGATGGACCTATCCTCCATGAATTAATCTAGTTTTTGAACACTGTTATAGTTTTTGGCCTTCACAACATCCCCTGGTAACACATTCCACATGTTGACTGTGCATTTTGTAAAGAACTATTTCCTTTTTGTTTGTTTTTTGTTTTTAAAACCTGCTGCCTCTTCATTTAATTGGGTGACTCCTAGTTCTTGTGTTATGAGAGGGGTAAATAACACTTCCCTATTCACTTCTTCCACACCATTCATGATTTTATAGACCTCTATCATATCCCCCTAGTCATCTATTTTCCAAGCTGAAAAGTCTCACTCCTTTTATTCTTTCCTCATATGGAAGCTGTTCCATAGCTCTAAACATTTTTTTGTTGCCCTGCTCCAATTCTAACATACGATGGGACAACCAGAACTGCATGCAGTATTCAAGGTGTGTGCACTGAAATGCAGTTGCTTCTTGGATGGAGCATGGCTATTTTTTAACATGTCATAGTAACATGATATGACTGTATCATCAGAGGATACATGAAGAAGACTTCTCCAAATAGGCTTCTCTTTGGAAAAGGAAATCCTGTTGTACAAGCTTTTAACTATTGAGTGCCCAGTGTGTCTTAATTTGTAATGCTCTCACCTCTGAGATGGAAGGGCTGAGTCAATCTTGGTTTCACACCTGTTGCTGATACTGCACAGCAGTAAGACAGGACAGTGCTGCTACTCATCTTTTGAGGAAGACTTCTTGCCTGTTTACATCAAATTTTAGAGCCTAGGGAAACCCTTGAACATAAGAACGGCCATACTGGGTCAGATCAAAGGTCCATCTAGCCCAGTATTCTGTCTTCTGACAGCGGCCAATGCCAGGTGCCCCAGAGGCAATGAATAGAACAAGTAATCATCAAGTGATCCAACCCCTGTCACCCATTCCCAGCTTCTGGCAAATAGAGGCTAGGGATGCCATCCCTGCCCATTCTGGCTAATAGCCATTGATGGACCTATCCTCCATGACAGTTTATCTAGTTCTGTTTTGAACTCTGTTATAGTCTTGGCCTTCACAACATCCTCTGGCAAGGAGTTCCACAGGTTGACTGTGCATTGTGTGAAAAAATACTTCCTTTTGTTTGTTTTAAACTTCTGCCTATTAATATAATTTGGTGGCCCCTAGTTCTTGTGTTATGAGGAGTAAATAACATGTCCTTATTTACTTTGTCCACACCAATCATGATTTTATAGACCTCTATCATATCCCTCTTTAGTCGTCTCTTTTCCAAGCTGAAAAGTCCAAGTCTTATTAATCTGTCCTCATATGGCAGCTGTTCCATACCTGTCATCATTTTTGTTGCCCTTTTTTGAACTTTTTCCAGTTCCAATGTATCTTTTTTTGAGATGGAGCAACCACGTCTACACGCAGTATTCAAGATGTGGGTGTACCATGGATTTATATAGAGGCAATATGATATTTTCTGTCTTATCTGTCCCTTTCTTAATGATTCCGAACATTCAGTTATCTTTTTTGACTGTTGCTGCACATTGAGTGGATGTTTTCAGAGAACTATCCACAATGACTCCAAGATCTTTCTTGAGTGGTAACAGCTAGTTTAGACCCCATAATTTTATATGTATAGTTGGGATTATGTTTTCCAGTGTGCATTACTTTGCATTTATCAACATTGAGTTTCATCTGCCTTTTTGTTGCCCAGTCACCCAGTTTTGAGAGATTCTTTTGTAGCTCTTTGCAGTCTGCCTGGGACTTAATTATCTTGAGCAGTTTTGTATCATCTGCAAATTTTGCCACCTCACTGTTTACCCCTTTTTCCAGATCATTTATGAATATGTTGAATAGGACTGATCCCAGTACAGACCTCTCAGGGACACCACTATTTACCTCTCTCCATTCTGAAAACTGACCATTTATTCCTACTCTTTCTTTCCTATCTTTTAACCAGTTACCAATCCACGTGAGGGAACCTTCCCTCTTATCCCATGACTGCTTACTTTGCTGAAGAGCCTCTGGTGAGGGACCCATCAAAGGCTTTCTGAGAATCTAAATACACCATATCCACTGGATCCCCCTTCTCCACATACTTGTTGACCCCCTCAAAGAATTCTAGTAGATTGGCGAAGCATGATT